TCATCGAGCTAACGACGTTAAACAAAAACACTTCATGGGAGGTAACCCATTATTTTTTATTCTGTTACATTTTTATTTTTTTTTTATTTTTTTTTCGATTAAGCATGTTTTATTTAATTTTGCAGGAATTTCAAACTTAAACGACGAGAAATTGCGAAATTATCTTTCAAACAGTGTCGAATTCGGACCGCAAGAGTAGTAGAAATAACGCATGGAAGTGGAACAAATTGCCCCAGCCCGTATGCACCGTTTCATTAAACGGAGCACGTTACCAAAACCCTTTGGAGGAGGCTGGCGCACGTTAGCAAAACCAAAAAAAAATTCCCCCCTTTTTTGTTATCTTTCTGCCGCCCCACTCCCAATCCTCTCTTCTCTTTTCTTTCCCTTTAATCGTGGACCCCACTATCCCTATCTCTCTCACCCTTTTTAATTTTTAAACTTCCTTTTACCCTAATAAAAAAAAGGAAAAAAGCAAAACCCAATTTACCTCCAACTCTAACACTTCCCATGGCAAAAAACAAAATCCCCAACCCTCTTTATCTTCTTCAAAACACTTCTTTCCTCCCCCAAACACACAATCGTTCCTTCTTCTTCTTACCGTCACCAACTTTATCGAACCCTTACGCCCTCGCTAACATGCTCAGTCCACGATGGTACGCACGAGGAACCAATAAAACAATAATGAATTCAGATCACATCATACTGTTCGGTGTTCACACCCACCGTCTTTCTCTATCTTGGATCTAGCACTATTCGTCATCATCTCCACCGTGCTCCCCATCACTATCCTTCTAGTCCATGCCAACCGTGGTCACTACTTTCTCTCGTCCACAACAGTCGACTTTTCCATCGCGTTCGATGCATTCGGCGACATCGGAAAAAACTCCGGAGGTAAATTCTGATCCTATTTCCATTCAACTATTACTAATGTACATCTGGTTTATGGTTTTACAGATGATTTCAAATTCAATTTTCCACCACGACACAACCTGACCATGCTTCTAGTTCACGGCATCAAACCTGAGCCCCCACTTCTTCGCCTCTCACCATGGTTGTGGTCAACACTAAATCCGGGGAGTACTCTATTCCTTTTCTTGCACTTTAATTTTACGTTTTGAGGCAAAACGCTTTAAGTGAGGGGGAGTAGAGTGTAAGTTGAATTTCCCTTTTTCTTATCTTTATGTTTTGATGCTAGTATGTGTTGGTTGAATTTGCGAAAATTTCATTGAATTTCTTTGTCTAGTTAAAAATCATTGGAATGTTATGCTTGTTTGGGAACACATGATTGTTTAGGTTAGGATGTTCTTGATAGCAAATAGCATGAATTGTGATCAAGTTAGTATTTTTGTGATATTACATGATTTTATCGGTTAAAATGTGATTAGCTCAATGCATGAAACAATTTGGTGAGATTTGAGCCTTTACGAGCATATCATTTTCGCTCTCATTTTGTTGGATCGAGTTTATCGAATTTGGCATTGGTATTCTAGAACCTACATGTTAAATACTATCGAGATTACACATGAACATGACACCTTAGGATTAACCATTCCGTTTCCCACTAAATTGCCTACCCATACATTTTACCCCTAGTTAACCACTTTTGAGCGTATTCCTGCTTCCTTGTTTTCACCATATTTATAAATTGAGCCTTTTATTTTATCTCTTTTCTACCATTTTCAGGGCAAGTGAATAGTTATCCGATATATGCTCCATGAAAAAAAGAAAAAAGAAGAAGAAACGACAGCAGTTCAAAAGAAAGAAGGAAAAAATAAAATAAAAAAGATGTTGTTCGAAGAAAAAGAGAGATAAAAGACATGAAAAAAATGGAAAACAAAACAACAAAAGTGTGAAAAAGAAAAAAATCAAATGCATTTTGAAAAGAATTTTTTTGTTTGACAATTTGTTTTGCTTAATGTTTTGATAAGTTGAACTTGTTATTTGTTAGTTCCTTGCCTTGAATATTTAGCCATATATTTAGCCTTTTCCCCACCTTTACCTAAGCCCCGTTACAACCAATAAAAGACCCTTTGATTTATGCATCTTGTTCTTATTAGTAGTGGAGATTTGATATACTTGCATGCATATGGTAATATCATGTCGATTCTGACATTGAGTGTTTCTTCACCCCAAACACATTGAGTGATTTGAGTGAATCCCGGTAAGGTGTTGAGTTATAAGCATTGAGATTAATGAATGAATTTATATTATAATTTCACTAGACTTGTTCCAATTGGTGATATTCAATTGATTGATGTCTTGACTTGAATATTTCTTGTGGTCTCTACCTTGCTTTCCTTGAATGTGAAACTTGACAAAGAACAATAAATGGAATTTTTGACAAATTTGATTTTATCATACTTGAGGACAAGCATGAGATAAGTGAGGGGGAATTTGATGAGTGTTCAGAATCTTAATAATTGCTCGTTATTTCTGTTATTTTGGATTTATTGCTGTGATTTGGTTGTGTTATGTATATTTTCTGCAGGTCCTTACTTTCTAAAATTAGTGATAAAAACGGGTGCATTTTGCATTTTTATTATTTCGACACGGCTGGAGACATGGGCACGACTCTGGACATGACGCGGTTTGACATGGTAATTTCTAAAAGGTCCAGTCAGCGGCAGTTTCTAGAAGATTTGCTCAGCACGCCTTCTGGAAGATGGACGAGTAGAGTTGCATTAGGAGTCTTGTTTAAAGTTTGAATTTAGAAAAAAATAATTATCTTTAGGATTATTTTATTTTAATTTCTTTGTTTATCCTTAGGCTTTGAGAGGCTATAAATACCCTCTTGGGGTAAACTTAAACACATCACTCAAACTACAATCTTCTTTTCTCTCTAGTTTTATAAAAGCTTTATTTTTTTAGTTTTCAAGTTTTTTCATTTTTCTTTTATTTTCAAGTTTTGTTTTTAATATGCTAAGTATGACTTTTTCATGCTTAGCTAAATTTTTCATAATTCAAGAGCTGACGCGCTGATTTAATTCTAACGGAAGAATTGAAATAGACCCTTAATATCTTCGGAATATCTCTCTCAATCTCTGCGCTTATTTTTCAAAATCAAAACGGTTTTCAAAATCAAAGATGGACTTTGGTCTAGATTATAGTTTCGATTAAATGTGTATGAGGAAGATTCGGCTTATAGAAAGCACATTCAACTTCCTGGGAACACACTTGACAAGATAGCTTCGCCAAGAGGGATTTGAGATCGAAATTGACGGTTATAGAAGCAACAATCCGAGACGATCGCCACGAACTTAAACGGTAATTGATCTACGACAATTGATGTTGATAGAATCAATTTCCAAAACCGGAATCAAAGATTGCCTTGGGTATTCGATATACAAAATGGAGTCACGAGTATAGCCCTTGTAGACAAAGTAACCGACGTGAAACCTGAAGGAAAAATCTAATTCGATGATCTAAAGGAAATTGAGTCAAAGCAAAGCTTGAGGCTATTTTTACCACAGCATTTACAAATCCTTATTCTCTTTCTTTTCACTTTAATTAATTTTTATTTAATCTCTTTATTACTCAGTCGTTTTTCATCAAAACCGCCCTATTACTACATTCACGCCTGGCTTAAACAAACAGAACATAAATTTATAATTTTTCAAGTCCCTGTGGATTCGACCCTTACTTCTCTATATTACGAATTTCCTTTATTTATCAATTAAGAAAAAGGATTTTTATTTGACATCGAAACGACAGTTGTCAAACTATTAAATCCATCAATGTAATTTACCCTTTTTTTCCCAACATTTTTTGCTTATCTGGTGCAATCTTCACATATTTGAATGACATCTAAGCAAATTTGATATATGAGCTGACACATGAATTCGAGAAACATAGAAACCTGATGGTTAATTGTTCAAAGCCAGGAATATTAATATCAAACTGCTGGAAGACTTGCCGTTGAAGGAAGCCCACGCTATATGGGTATCACTGCAGATAAAGATCGAAGAACTACAAGAAGTAGAAAGAGACTATGTTCATCGAATGTGAGCACAAACCTGAGCACTCCATTCTCATTAGACTCCCAAGCACTCAGCCATTTCATTTTTCTCCCTAAACTGTCATCTTCCATTGTAACATGAACTAACTTGATGAACAAGTAAACCTAACTCCAATAATTTACAAAAATGTGCTGACGAATGTATAAATATCTGAATGGAAACATGAAAGAGCTCTAGCTTTTGCAAATGAATCAAACTTTTTTAAACCAATAGTAGCGTCTGGAATTCAATGGCATATCCCATAAATATACGAGATATTAAGGGTCAAACTACTTCAGTGAAATTATTAAGGATGTATTCATCTCACAGAAAATATTAATAGATATATTTACCTTCTATAAAAAAATTTATGTATCTTTTAATAGCATCTTAGGTAAGAATCCTCTTTTTAGAACTATCCTTACGAACTAGTTGCTCAATAATCCAAGCTCGAGTCACCTTCACAATCCAAATTCAACTAGCTTGCGAGCACATATTTCTCAATTCTGATTCAGACCCAGTTCTTCATTTCTGTTTTAAGAACTTCTTATAAGTTAGTTTGAAAAGCAATTTTTATTTTAAAAAACTGTATTTTTTATAAAAATAAATAAATACATTTATTCTAAGGGGTTAAACTTCTAAAATTTTAAGAGAGGTTGATACTATAAAATTCTAGGAAAATAAATTATAAATAGAAAATATCTAAAATTTATGGTAATTTAAAATTTTTAAGGGTGACTGCTCGGTCCATCCCAGTCCAAAATCACTGCAACAACCAAGAAATTCTTCCGTCTAGCATCACATTGACAGGTCCGGGATAAACAAAGTGTAGAATTATGTACTAAAAGTCGATCTGTACCTTGTTCAAAATCAATTTACATTCTGAGTAGGGCTGTTGTTTAATACACTTTTCTTCCAATAAGAAGTTCAGCAAGAAGTGAAATTAAAAGTCACATCCACAGGCTTCAAATATGTTCAATTGCTTGTTGCTCAAGAAGTCAAATAAAATAAAATCAAGGGAAATATACTTAATATTCAATCTGAAGCAAACCATTCAAGAAATTGAAATGAAATGACTAATGAATGCCAATATAACAAAATCTCAAACCAGAAAAGCTTCATTAACCCAAGGGAAAAAAACACAAAAGCGCTCAAAACATCATAATGACACTCTCCCAACCTTTTTCTTTTCTTTCTCTACATTCAATTTCAAAAACAATGACACAAATTGGTTAAACAATATACTAAGAACCAATAAGCTAACTTGGATTTTAGATTATCGTACGCCCAGTTTTAAAGTACTCTCAAATATCCTGGGAAAGAAGGTAGGGACTGAACTGCCAAAACCTACACCCAGCCACTATATCAGAAGAAGGAAAACCTTATCCCATTACTTGCCGCAAACAACTTGTACTGTTCAACAGTAGACTCCTTTTTATTGCAACCATGACCATTTTCAACATGATCTGCTTTAAACTGGGAAGAAAGTTCTTCCACAATCTCATCTTTCAGAGGTACAGGATTAGATTTGCATCCCATTGAAAGAGCCACGGGTCCACCGAAATGGAACAAGGAAAAGCTAGTGTCGTCCTTGTGTGATTTGGAAGAGACATCACTTTGCTTTCCTTCTCCATTTGCTGCTTGTTCTGTTGCATGCAGCCTGCCATGAACAACCGTCTCCGCATTAAATTCAGTGAAAGCTTCGTTTGCTGTACCAGACTTGGAAATCTGATTTCGCTCCTCTACATACAAGCCATTGGCCTCCAAAACTGGCTGATAAACCGGGACATGACCAGGGTTAAACGGTGGAGCGGCTAAATGCTGCATAGCACCATATTGCATGCATAAATGTGAGTATCTGTTTAGACCATAGCCAAGAGGGCCAGTATAAAGATACGGATTTCGAGGAGGGAAAGGCACTAAACCATTAGATGGAGTTGCTGGCCAAGAAACAGGATTCTGATGGTAGAAACTCATGGCTGAAGGAGCTTGGTACACGGGAAATTGTGTATGTTGGTTATACACCGATGAAAACATGCCTTGATGCTGAGAACCCATAAAGGCAGTTGGTTTTCCGTTATCAGAATTTTCAGAAGTTTTTGTTGGTGGATTTGCTGGATCTTGTTCTCTGTACCATCTGGTGGATGTCCAAACAATGCCTGGCTTTCCAGAGTGACCCCTCTATTGACTTCCTGCTTTTTATCCATTCCTTTCACCTGGAACTCAGAGAAGCCGCTTTGAATGAAGATTGAAGTCTCTCCCCTATCTGATTGTTGACATGCATCTTCAGAATCTGATGTTGTTGAAGATTCCAAATTTCCGTGATGTGAAGTGGAGGTATTGCCATCTCCTTCACTAAGGCATGAAGAGCAGTTATCAGAATTAGAAGTGCTACAAATCGTAGAATGATAAACTCCATTCAGGGTAGTGTTTCTATCAGGAAAAATTCCAACTTCCTCATATCCAGCATTCGGTGAAGAACATTGATCCTGTGTCTCCTCATGACGGTCATTATTTCTTGCAAGGTTGGAGTTTCTTGATCTGTTAACCTTGCTACGCTCATGGTCAATTTCAACCAAACTTACACTAGCTTCACTCGAACACGCCTTACCGGATGAATTAACAAAGTTATCATAAGGCTTATCTCCTCCATTGTAAGTAGATGACCTCAAAGTAATATCTGTATCAGAGTTGCTCCGGGGGTACATTTTACGCGACTCTATGGGCTCCCAAACTTTCTTGGAGGGAAGTGAATCTCGACTAGTAGGATTGTTTCCAGAAACAATTTTATGTTTCAGATTTTCACAATCTTCACGCCTGTGAACTTGCTGATTATACTTGTTACCATTATTGACTTGCTTAGACATAGCCAATTTAGATTCTGTCTTGCTGACAGAATTGGGCTCTCGACCAACTCTGGTTTCAGAAACATGTGCCTCAGTCTTGGCTCTGTATTCACTGTGTTGGACGCAGCTGCAGGAGTAGAAGTCATATCTATCACTCCAACCATTGGAACACCGAAACTTGTCAGAATATTTCCGACCATTGGACTTTGCATTGCTTATCCTTGATTGCCTATTTAATCCACTGAAGTTCCTCGAAGAAGCCTCAAAGTTCTCACCTTTATTTCGTGGCTCAGATCTATTAACAGGAGGACTTTCTGAAACAACAGCAAACCGGCGACGATCAGACCATTTCATGGATGAATCAAGCTGACTGTCCTTGTAAAATTTCAATCTCCGATGAGAAAATTTTGATTGTTCCATTATAAAAGAGCCATTTCCATCTTTTACCTTTGTACCATCTCCACCAGGACTATCAAAAGAGTGATTCTGCAAACTTGAAGTGGAATTCCCATCTAGAAACCGGTCTCCTTGAACATCTGGAGAAGCAGGTCTAGACACTATAATATCACCTATGTCACTCACAGAGTCTCTGCAAGTAACAGCAATATTTTCTTCAACCTCAACAGTCAGTGAAGAATCTTCCTTTGCAATATCAGGAGAAACAGGGGTTATACTTTCAGCACATTTTTTTTCTCTCTCTCTTTCTTTTCCTTTCAGTCTCTCCTTTCTCCTAATCTTTTTCTCCCTTTCTTTTGTTCTTTTCCTCTCCTTGCGTTCTTCTTCTTCACGCTTTTCCCTCTCTTCTTCCTCAAGAAGTTTCATCTGTAGAAACCATTTGGTGACAATAATATTATCAAAAAATAATACAGAGAATCCTATATTTACTGATAAGAACAAAGGAATGTGCATCTCGAAGAATCATCAATTGCTCAGACCTGCTTTTCTAAAGTAATAATTTCCTTGCATGCAACATAAACACGTTCTTCCAACAGCTTAACAGCAAGGCTAACAAAGATACTATGTGCATTCTGGCGTGCTGTTCCTTCCCTAAAAGCCTTTTCAACCTGAATATCAAAAGGGATCACTTATTTTTAAGTTTGTAACAAGAACTTCAGCAATAATGAGAACACAAACAACTGACACAGATTTGGCGTGTATGTTTGCCACGCCACAATTCCATAGACACAATCCACAAGAACCACTAACCAAAGTCCAAGTTTATTCTTACCAAGGAAATAGTTTGACAGTTTTTAAATAAAAAAATCACAGGGTGGCCCTTGTCTCCAACAAGCATAACTTGATGGGGCAAGTTTGGAAGGTTGGCCGGATACTTATCTCAAGATATCATTGTTCACAGAGCAAATGCATTGCATTTCCTCTAGCCAAGTAGTTATAGTATTATGAACTATTGGCAATCTTTCTCAAAGTTCAACCAAAGACAATTTTTTTCATTTACTATTGGTCTTGCTTCTCTAAGCCACCGAGTTCAACAATAAACCATTTTAAACAGAGATTTCGCTAGAAACAATGGAATGAAATTCTGGTTAATAAATTGCACATATCGAATTCATTAATATAAACTGATATCTGTTATCATTCTAACTATCACATTCTTCTACACACACAGGTTCTAATTATCAATGGAAATGATAGAATCCCACAGATCTTTTAAAGTTTTAATTATCAATACAAATGGTAGAATACCACGGCTTTTCTTGATACGTGAATAGTTGAGAAGATTGACGGGTACATTAGATGAATTTAAAGCAAAATAAAGGTAAAAAGTTATGAACATGCCTGTTCCTTAAATATAACAGTTGCTGCATCAAGAAGAAACTCTCGAGCAAGTTCAGGACTCTTCGCATGCTTTTGTGGACGTGAGCATTCCCCATCAAGCTCATTTCCATCATTGTCCATGGAATCTTCATCCTGAAAAGATGATTTAAAAGTTCAACGACACAATAATCCAGAAACCTTATTTATAATCCTCACGAAGTTTGAATTACCTCTTCTTCCTCTGCCTCTTCAGCATGCTCAAAAAAACTTCTAATACTTTCACCCCTAGTTATTGTAACATAACCATCTCCAACTACGAGCCTGCAATGCACGCATTGATGGCCCTTTAATGCATGGGCTTTTACAGAAAACTCAGAGCAGCGACCATCCAATTTCCAGGCCCTCAGAGAGATATAACATATGGTCAAGTCATCAAGATTCAAGCCATTGACTTGCACGCTCCCATTTATGCCAACATTTTCAAATTCCAAAATATCCGATTTTCCTTCCCCAGTTCCAACTGCCCATTCAAAGTGGTGGTAAGTTCCAATTGAGTCGGCAAAAGTTTGACGCCAATCAGCCTGAATAGTGTCATCAGATACCTGGGCAAGTAGTAAAGAAAAATATTGCATAAGTCACAGACTTAGAAAATTCTCACAACAAGCTCAATAAATATGACTATAGTGGTCAAAGTTGAAATATGAGTCGTAAATTCTTTATGAAGAGTAGATCAAAAGATCTCATGGTATGTCAACAGTAGTCGGTGCACCAAAAGTTTAAATATGAGGATACCTCATATAGAAATGCTGTATCTGCAACACAAAACCAACTAGTGCATCTAGGTTCTCTACGCATGCGTTTTAGTTCCTTCAGCTCCTTGAACTCACGGATAACATTTCTCCTGCAATCTCTGCAAAATCTCTTGCTGTCAAACCTGTTCCAAAGATGCAAAAGTGAGATTTGAGATCTATACAAAATTATGGGTAGCAGAAGTCTACAGGCATGTTCTAAGGATGGAGCTAATGAAAAATATGTGATATCTGAATACAGTTTCAGCCTTGGCCCGATATTTATGAAAAACTCTCAGAAGTGCAAAAGAAAGAGAATTTTGCAAAATAACTTGGACAACAGAAAATGAACTCCACGTTAATGAATATTACCCCCCACCCCTTTTTCTGAAAATTGTCTTGTGGTTTTGAAAATCGTAAAACATTTTCTAGAACATGAAATGAGAAAAAATGACCACCTCAGCAATCCATTCCTTATAGTATTGAAGCTGAAGCAAAGCAAAGATCAATTCCTTGATTGTAGAGATCAATCTTTTTCTATCAATGTACATTTTTTCAAGAAAAGTACGACACAAGATATTTTATGCAGCATCATCAAAACAACATAAAATATCACTTTTTCCAGCAAATAAGTCCATTCTCCACAAAACAAAATATGTAGGCAGCCTTAACGTATTATAATACTGAATCCTTTCTCCTTATCACTAAATAAAACCAAAGGTAATGGGCAGAAGATGTGAAATGAAGATTCAGGCATTCAGCCATTCCTGTGCTTTAAATGTCTAATTTTCACTGTTCAAAAGATATTGTATCACATTAATTTTTCTTAAAGGATGATACAACTCTCAATATCCCTCTAAGCATATGCACCCCTCCAAACATTTTTACAGACTCAATTTGTATCCACTTTTCAACAAAGACACATTTTCAACACTATTCTTTGTGATGAGTTTCCTAATGCTTATATTTCTACCCTACAAACACCAGTAATGACGATCGTTGGTCAAAAAGACCTCTAATGAAAATGAAATGTCTTAGCAACATTTGATTACATCATAAACAACACATACTAACTGAAGAGTACGCATAAAAGTAAGGATCACAAGTATGATAGAAATCAAGTAGAGAAAGCAACATTAAAGAGAGTCCATGATTGCACAAATTTAGAGGCCTTTTTTTTCTTGGGAACAGAACTGATGCAAGCTAGTCATTATCCGTTTATAAATCCAGGTTGTAAGATCTTATTGTTTTCATTCTCTAAAAGAATCATAACTCCTCTTTTGATCTCCCTGAATATAGAAAAAATTAGGCCAAAATCACTCATCCTCATTATCCACTAATTAGTTTCTTGATAAAAAATTTATAATGGTCATTTTTTAGGTTTTACTGTCTTCCAAAGGAAGCAGTACTCATGAGTTTCAGGTGTCTTACTATTTCAAAGCTGATACAAGGGAAAATTCTTAAAGACCGGTCTTTCTGGACCATTGGTTTCATGTAATGCTTGAAAGCCAGAAATAAATCATTATTCCCAACTGCAACAGGTCAAAACATGCTTCCAGGAGTACTAGTCATTATCAATATATATTCAAATTGCTAAACTCT